CTCAGTAAAACATTTGCAATCTTTACATGATGGGAAAACTTAAATCAGTTCATACTAGCAAATTATCAAGCATTAATCTTTACTTCTTCTTTTTTCGGGTTTCAACTTTCAATACATACATATTATTATCAGGTGGGGGACACAGCTGCTTCAAAGACAGTGACGAGGCCAGGATAAGACACAGGCGTCGAAAATTCTGGGAAAAAGCAGTCGACATAAACGAGCTGTGTGGGCCCAATGAAGCATGGTGGGGTGTGAGGGGCCAAATGCGGGACGATTTTTACCACAGTAACAAACAAATTACCTACAGTGAACATTTTCAGAACAGTAGATTTGTCGAGTCTGTTCTAGACGTATACTGGGAGTTACCCCCAGTGGCTGGCCCATCACTCACTCATCAGACAAGATATGACCCGGCCCGCGCCCCAAGCCCGATTATTGAAGATGGTAGGTATGGTTTATTTCGAAGGCTTGGGTTATCACAGTTTGATATTTCTGTATTTAACGGGTATACGCAGATGGTTTATCTTCAGGTATCTAAACCGGAAACGTGATTTTCGTCTATGAGTTTGTTAGTGTTTTTTACTAGTTTCTTGTAACTTGGGCTGTTTGTCGATATATTGAATGTGTTTGTAGTGCTTGTAGGGATTTTACTGGTTTTTTCAGGTGTTCTTTGCTTTGTACTTTTGTTAGTATGGAAAAGAAAAACTCAAATCATATATTGTTCTCTAATGACTTTGCTGTTTTTGTTTGGGCATGCAAGTTATACATACAGTTCGTTAGAGCATCTCCAAAGGGAAATGTTGAACTGTGTTGATAGATAGAAAGTAAATGTCATGTCATTTAGGTGAGTTCGTTAAAGCATCTCGACATATGACATGGCTTTAACTCCAATTTTATATGATACATCATCAAATATTGTGGAAAAGGACTAAAAAAGTTGAGTAAATATTGTTTATTTTATATTTTTAGTCTAAAAGTCGTGACAATATACAGTTAATTTCATTTTATAAATCAAACAATAACAAGTCGTTGGGGTCGACTATATTTCATTTAAATTTAAATATTTTAAAAAAAATTTTATTGTCTTTTTTTTTTCAAGTTTTCTCGTTGGGGTCGATTATATTCATTTGAATTTAAATATTTTAAATAATTTTTTATTGTCTTTTTTTTTTCAAGGTTTCCTAGGTCTATTTTTGTTAGCAAATATTATGAAGATGAGTTTTTCAAAGAATAACATAAGATTAGGAATAAATCTCAGAGAATGACGTTACCATAAGATTATGAATAAATCCGCAAAACCAGCAGCCAAACCAACTGATACTATAAAGCATTCAAATCGCGATGTTTTTTCTTAAATTTTAACAACTCAGGTTATGAATAAACTCAGGTTATGAATAAACCCACGTAATTTTCTCAAATTTTAACAACTCAGGTTATGAATAAACCCACGTAATTTTCTCAAATTTTAACAACTCAGGTTATGAATAAACCCACGTAAAACCCAGCTGAAGCAGCAAAACCAACTGATACTATAAAGCATTCAAATCCGGATGTTTTTTCTCAAATTTTAACAACTCAGGTTATGATCCGGATGTTTTTTCTCAAATTTTAACAACTCAGGTTATGAATAAAGCCATGTCAGCAAAACCAACTGATACTATAAAGCATATGTTTTTTCTCAAATTTTAACAACCAGGTTATGAATAAAGCCACGTAAAATTCAAGCTGATCCGATAAAGCATTCAAATCCAATGTTTTTTCTCAAATTTTAACAACTCTCAGATATACGTTTATATTCGTGTTTTTTCAAATTTAATATATTGCACATATTTTCTAAATTTTATTATTTATTTTATTTTGTTATATTTTCTTTTCAAATGTTTGATATGTTTTATCCTGTGAAATCATTTCTTTAAAAAGGACAAATTATGTTTTCTCAATTTTATTATTTATTTGGTTTTATTATATGTTTTTTTTAATGGGAGTGTTGATGTATTTTATCCAATGAAGTTAGTTAGTCTTTTAAAAACTACTTTATCATTTTATTTATTTATTAGTGTTTTAAAAACTGCCTTATCATTTTATTTGTTTATTTAAAATAAATATATTCATGAATGAAAGTATGCATTGAAGATGGTATCAACGATTATTATTTAGTCATTGGACAGTGCTTTCGTATGAATTCACATTCTAATTATTTACTGTCATGTGGCAAAAAAAATTTAACGTTCCAGATGCTCTATGGGGGAATGTTTGCAAATCACTTACAATTTTGATTTCTTAGCTATTATAGGATAAGTTGGCTTGAATGAATAGTTGTCAGCTAACGGGTAAAAAACCAGTTCAACCGGTTAAAAGTTAAAGTGGCCAAAGACCGACTGGTTAAACCTGTCATTTTTATTTCCTTTTTTCCTTTTATTTTTAATTTTCTAAATTTAATTAAATATGTAAATTGTTTTTAATATAAATAAAAAATTAATTGGACATGCAAAAATTATTGCATCACTTACTTTAGTCATTTGAATATTTTAAATAATCTAAATATTTAATTTTGATGATTTTGTATAACAAATTTATTGTTCAAATTACCATATTTATTAAAAAAATATTATTTATTTAAATATCGGTCCAACCAATTTCAACCACTTATCCAACTAGTACACCATCAAACTAGTAACTCAACTAATTCAATGACCACTGTGGTTTTATAAAACAAATTCAACCTGGCGCAAACATCAATCACAAATGGTTTACAAAATTTGACAATGATAATAAGACTGCTCATCATCCAGAAATTTTGGACAATACAACACAATCTCATATTACCACTAACTCCATTTACATAACAAGCTTCCATTAGGCAAATACAAATTCAGCACACATCATTGTCATAACATTTTCATGCCATACTAACAGTAACAGATCTAATAAAACCTAGTCACAATAATAAAAAAAAATATATATAAAGATAATTTTTGTCGATTTTCTTAAATCCCCATGAATCCATAGAGAGCTCGGCCTTAGTTTTGGCTCTGGCACTTCTGCATGGTTCTTGGAGCTGCAAGCCAGAGAATGTAATACAATTATACACACATTTTAGTTTTTAAGTAAAAAAGAAAAAGAAATAACGTCACAAAAAACACCCCGGGATTATTTTATGTTAACATTTTCTTGTTCATTTCTTGAATAGGAGTTAGTTCTAAACTTACCTAACCCAATTGCATCAGAGCCTTTCATGATCCTCAATCTCTTGCATGAATCCATGAACATTCTGAGGAAAGAAAAGCCGTGAATAAATACTTTAAAGGTTTAACAACATTTCACAAGGGAAAATCAGTTGCAAAGAGCGTTAAATATAAATCAAAATTAGACATGCTGTATAACTATCTTGTCCAACTGTACCGATTTAAACATTGCCAACTCAGCCATTAGTATCGCTATGAAATGAACCCCAAATACGAACCCTTAGATGTTTCTTAAAAATAAGTTATCTCTTTATATTTACGGATATTAACGAATAACCCCTATATGCATGTTTCTACTTCATTATTAGACCTATTGGTCGAGCATTTTGTAAAACAAAAGACAAAACTCAAGGGTGAATGTGAATACTCAAAAAGATGGGTAGAATTATTTTCTAGTATTCAAGTTGAATACTATTAAGGCTATGTTTGGTAAAACTAGCTGATAGCTAATAAGCTATAGCTTATAGCTTATAGTGATTATCGAGCTTAAAACTAGCTTATATTAACGCGTCATTTTTAATAATAACATAATCAAGCAAAAGCATAAAACATATTAATGTTCGATAGTTTAAGGTTTTGAACATACTCCCAAGGAACATCCCCAACGAGCATCCAATCACCGTCTTTGTCTTCATAAGTCAGCACATACTCAGAACCATTAAGCAAATCCATTAAACGACTCTCGCTTAGCTGTTCTTGCCCAGCACATTGCCCTGCACAACAGTTATATGCAAGAGTTATAACAAAATGTTCGAGGGAATCTAACTTTCTGAACTAGAAAAACCATCTAAAGAAAAAAAAAAAAGGGAGAGATTCAGTTAAATCAAGAAATGCATCATCCTTTGAGCTAGTGTTTTCATATAACCTTGGAAGATAAATGAACCTTTCTTCTTAACTGTAAGGATTTTTCCTTTTATTTAATTTTTTTACTTGCTTGTGTTTTACCTATGGTGAAACAGCTAAACATCTTCTCGAGAGCGGATGAAAGTTCGGGATAGCTGCAATAAGTTTTGAGATCAATCTTCCTCAGATAAGGGGCACCATCCATGCTGACCTTCACGTACAGGCAAACCAGTCCTGATTTTTTACGGAGCTCATCGTTTTTCGGTAAATTGGTGGCGAGGGTATTCTTCCGGAAAGATCTAATTGGTGGCCATCCAACTACTTGTGCTCTGCAAAAGAAGTTCATGAAAATTATAGTTTCTTATACATTGAAAATACAAAAACAAGCCAAGTCAATCAATCCAATGCAATAACACCACTTCCAATAAGATATGAGACACAAACTTTTATACACAATTTGCATAATTCAGAAAATAAATCAATAAAAGCATGTCAAGAATTCAACTCCAACTGTAAAAGGCTTATCAAGAATCAACTACAGTGAAGATAAAAAGGAAAGTTATATGAATAACAATTAATCGTCAAATTCGAGCCAACATGAGAAAGGGGCAAAAAGGAAATACACTCAGCGGTCCACATATTTACAAACATAATCACAATTCATAAGATACACCAGAAATACAAATATTTGTACAATAAAAATTAAGACGATATTATCTTGAAGAAGGAAAAAAAATTAAAAAAATAGAGAGCTCACTTTGCAGCAGGGGCATTATTGCAATTTTCACTCTTCTTCTCCTCGACAGGCTTCTTCACAGGAGGAACAATCTCCTTCACAGAACTCATAGGCAAACTGTGCTTGCCCTTGCAATCTCTACCAACACCATCTCTTGGTGAAAACAAGCCATCACTTTTCCCCAAATTACCCTCAGATCCACCATTAATACCCAAACCCCACTTCCCAGAACCACTGATTGAATCAGAAAAAACCCTCTTTGCCCCGGTAACAAAATTCTTCGAAAAACCATTTCCACCATTGTTATCATCCTTAAAATCCTTCCCAAATATGGAAACCCCAGGCCCAGACCTCCTCTCAGGGGACTCCGAGCCTGGCAAACCGAGCCTCAGCTCGGTTTCTTTTAAATTCAGGCCATTCTTTTTCTCGGATGATTTTTCGAGGGATGGAGGCTCGGATAAGCCTATGTAGTCGTGTTCTTGAGGTATAGACATCAAAAAAGAAGATTTTTTTATTTTTTTATTTTTTTGGTGGGTTCTTTGCAGCTCAAGCAGGAACTCTGAAAAGATGGGATTTTTTTGGCTATGTATTGAATGAACAATAAAGAAAGTATTTGTTAGAAAATACTTTAATTAAAGGGCAGTGAGAGGTTTTTTATATTTTGGTTCCTCTTTTTAGAGCTTTGGGCACCTAAAAAAGAGCACTGGTTTTTTTATGATGCAGAAAAGAAGCTTCTTTGGCCTTT